CTACTGGTAATAGTGAAGCAATACAATACACATTACCATGAAAAAGGATGGCAATGTACAGAATTCTTGATTTTTGATTGTTTTAAATTCAAATATAAAATAAATATGGATTATCTTAAAATGAGTAGGGTAATTACATCAAGCAAAAGAAAAGAAGCCGCAACATTGATAAAGCGATATCTTCGCTTGGCTTTCAAAATAGTTTAAAACATAGCTACTGTGTTCATTTTTGCAAATACAGTAATAGTTCAACATAAAACAATGAAACATCTATAGCTTTACTATCTTTTTAAAAAAATTTAAATATTTTTGGTATGTAATATTTCAAACATGTATTAATTTGACTGATTTTTTAAAATATTTTATTTCTTTAATAAAAGGGTATATTAAATAGGTAATTAATTCCCTTGCACAATATCCAAAGAAGAAAAAAAAATATTGGTAAATAATTTTTTGCTAACACCTGACTGTCTACTAACACTATCTAACTACAACTAACACTAGAATTCTCCCTACACACTTCTATGATCATCCCTAACACTATCTACTTCTAACTCTCTACATTTTCCCCCTAGCGCTACCTCTCTCTAACTGCTGACGTAACTGCTGACCCACGCTTCAGTGGTCATCTGACCGTATCACTTGACCGGTCATCTCATGTAATGTTGGTCTATCTAACTACACTATGCTCTGTTTCGGCTTACGTCTACTTGACTTCTATAACTTAAACTTGCGTCATCATAGGTCATATTACCATTAGCGAACAAATACAACAAGTAAATACATTTGTGATAAGATTTTGTTATCGAGTATATTCCATGGGTCGTGAGATATAATTCCTTTTTTCATAAAAAGGGGAAGTAGATACGACTTTCTTGGTTTTACTAGATATTTCCGCTGTTGTATCCCTTTGACAGCTTGTCTAAAGAAGGAGAATTAAGGATGAATAAACAATAGGTTTCAAGCCAGGACACACGTTTCCTTGTATGGCGATAAGGAAGTTGAGATGATAAATGAATTATGTTTACATCTAAAAAAGTTTTAACATCTATAATAATAGTTTCGCTGTCTGTCTATCTATCTATCTATCTATCTATCTATCTATCTGTCTGACAAGAACGCTCTAGAGAAAACACAAGGAATTTAAAAACCTGCACAGTAATTCAAAAAACGAAATATGACGTCGACACATTTAGCGTAGAGTAGAACATAATCTCAAACCAGAGAGTGCACACAGTAATGTAATGACGTCATTGAAACATTGAAAAAAAGGAAATGTTGTCTAATCTAAATGGTTTGCGTGAAGAGTTTCTTGCATACAATTCTTCGGGTAGGGGCGAAGCCCCACCCCCGCGTAAGAACGTCTGAGGGGGGTGGGGGTGGGGGTGGGGGGGGGTTGAGTGGGGGGGGGGTTGAGTGGGGGGGGGGGGTTGAGTGGGGGGGGGTGGTTTTAATTTAGACTTTTTCCTCCCCGGAGAGGGGTGGGGGTACTTGAAATTTTCGGGGGCGGGGGTAGAATTTTCGGGGAGGGGCGGACACTGGAAAAAGTATATAATTATATTTCGTTGAATGGGACGGTAGACATGTTTTTTTAGGGGGGGGGGGGGTTGTGGGTGGGGGGTGGGGGGAGGGGGGTGTGTGGGGGGGGATGGGGGTGAGTGGGGGGGGGGGGTGGTTTTAATTTAGACTTTTTCCTCCCCGGAGAGGGGTGGGGGTACTTGAAATTTTCGGGGGCGGGGGTAGAATTTTCGGGGAGGGGGCGGACACTGGAAAAAGTATATAATTATATTTTGTTGAATGGGACGGTAGACATGCTTTTTTTTGGGGGGGGGGTGGGTGGGGGGTGGGGGGGGTGGTGGTGTGTGTGTGGGGGGGGGTGGGGGTGAGTGGGGGGGTGGTTTTAATTTAGACTTTTTCCTCCCCGGAGAGGGGTGAGGGTACTTGAAATTTTCGGGGGCGGGTGTAGAATTTTCGGGGAGGGGGCGGACACTGGAAAAAGTATATAATTATATTTCGTTGAATGGGACGGTAGACATGTTTTTTGGGGGGGGGGGGGTGGGGGGTGGGGGGTGGTGTGTGTGTGGGGTGGTGTGTGTAGGGGTGGGGGTGGGGGGGTGGTGTGTGGAGGGGGTGGGGGGTTGGGGTGGTGTGGGTGGGGGTGTGGGTGGGGGTGGGGGTGGTGTGTGTGGGGGGGGTGGTTTTTGTTTAGAGAAAAGAGACAGCACTATCAACCTAGCGCCCGGTGTATCCTTCCTCAACGGGCCATTTTTCTCGTAAATATATAATAAACAATATAACTTCTTATTTATTCTTATTCATTTTGTTTTAATTTGATCTGAACAAGCAGTTGAACTCTGGCATGCATTTTGAACTGATTTATTTACGGCTTTTTTTGCCTTACAAATGAAATATGTTATTCTTTTTTTTTTACTCCATATTATTTTAATGATTTCATAATTTAATTTAATGTGTAGTTTATCTTGTGTATACCTTAGATAACCAACATAAAGAAAACATTGTATAGAGTATAAAATAAACTAATGAAATAGATGTAGATGATTTTGTCGGGTTTTAATAGACATTGTTGCCTGTGATACACCAACATTTCCAATTGTTTTTTACTAATTTTTTATTTTTATTTACTACATATTTGTCGAATCTTGTTTCATCTCTAATTAATTAATTATATGATTTAAAGTACACGATTTGGTGGCTTTTTTTCTCAAACTATTGGAGTCTAAAAATAGCTAGACTTACCAGTTCTGTGTTATTGTAATCGTAGTAACTTGAGCTACGTGACATATAACTCCTTGATGAGTATATATATATATATATATATATATATATATTTATATATATATATATATATATATATATATATATATATATATATATATACATAGATGTTCAGTTGAAATATTGTGTACACATAGATGTTTAGTTGACGGATTGTGTTCATATACATTTTTAGCTGACTAGATGTATCAACACACATGTTCAGCCCGTTTTTTTTCATCGCTCGTTTATGTGATATATTTTGTTAACATACAATATTACTATTGCTTACGTATCCATCAGACGCAACCGCAGGCGTTGACTAAGTGAATTGAAAGCTTTGGATTCTATTTAGACTTACACGTGATTTTGTTTAATATTATTATTCTTCTATTTTTTTTTAAATTAAAATAATTATGAGAGAAATTGTTAATTCGGGTTGAGCATTGATTTATCAACTTATTCGCATGTCTTTGAAAAGCATAAGCAAACGCAATAACGTTTTCAATAAATTGGCAAAAACAAACAATTGTTAGAAACAAAGAAACACTCACCTAAACAATTCATATTGTCTTTTAAAATTATTTTTGTAAATACTAATTTACTGTGCATATCCGTCTTAATTGTTTAACTAATTGTTATTTTTTTAAAAATCTTTTTTAGACTAGTGTTATGAATTGTAATTGTATTATTTCCCTTACATGTTAAAAATGAATGAATGGGAAGTAATTATTAACTGTTTTTTTTTTCATTGTTAAAAACATACATTTAAAACAAAAAATAATTTTTTAGCAAAATGTATATAGCCCTATAATAATTGTAAGAAAAAATAAAATATAATTTGTTCATTTTAGATATGTTAACCTCGAGTTGTGAGCGGGTTATACATGTTCAGAACGTGTAAACTATACCTACGGCAATGTATCGATCCTAAGCTGACTTTCTATGAAACGATTAAGTTTTATTTAGACCCCGAATGTATACCAGCCTCATCTCTAATGATAACTTTAAAAAATTGCCAAAACTAACTAAGGGGTGTAGCAAGATTATCTCTTTAGATGTGGTGACAAGCACAACACTTTGTTCACTACAATGTATACAATGTATTGCACTCTACTTCATAATAAATTACACCATTACCCTCATCTATTGAACGTTCAATTGTTTTAAGCTTGGTTGATGCTTATAGTCAGAAGTTTGCTGTGTTGTGTCGGTTGTGTTTATGTCGTCTCCTGTTTAGCAATTAATAATAACGTGCTTTAAGTACATGGGAGTGGGGGGGGGGGCAAAATGATTTAGCGGATAATCGTCCCTTAATAGCTACTGATATTGTTCTAAAGAAAAATATTTTCAGTCACAGCATTGGTAATGTCGAATTCACAAAATATGAACAATAGGAAATAAAAAAACTACATAAAGGCGTATGCTACGTCGCTGGTCAGCTCGTATGAAATAAATCAACAGTTAACGATGATTGATTTCGTTACATGTTTACATTTGGTTATAAACTTTAGATGTGATGGCAAAGTAAAAAATAATGCATAGAATATGATTTCTACAGTTGACTGCCTCACAACAAAAACACACACACTTGTAGTTTCACACACTCGTGCCAATGAACTTTCCCACATACATATGAAGTAATTACTGCATGAATATTTGAATAACCTGTAAATATGTGAGATATGCTGTATGCTGTGTTTGTATGTTAATATGTTTACATGTGTACCTGCCATGGATTGTAAAAGACAAATTACAAATGAGCCTTGTACTCACATAGTCATGGCATTAGAATTAGATGCGACCATTTTAATTATGATTTTAAGTCCGTTTATATATTACAGACATTGCTGTCTTAACGGTTTAAATACACGTTTTTTTATAGATCTGCTTTTCCTCTTTGTTTTAATTTTTCTTTATTGTTAAGATTGTACTGCTTTTAACATCGCTTCTCGCCCTTTTGACTATGATTAAAGTGGCCTGTCCCAATAAATCTATTAGTTCAAGTCTCTCTACGATAACACCATTCGAGTCGAAGACGACCTGAGTTAGCACTAGATTTTAACATTTCGCCAACACAGTAATGTCATATGTAAGTATATTCAACACAAGCAACAATGGAGTTGCGCCCATTCATGATCCATCTACGGTGAAAGCTGTTGGGAGGAGCCTCTATGATTACGGTTAAATTTGCTCAATGAATTCATGGGTCCTTATCTTTTCAGATACAGCCAAGTCACCAACAATCTCAACCAAAATATCAGATGAAGATGGACCATCACCAAGACCAACGGCCACCACATTATTTATGGCCACATAATCCACAGTCTAATCAGCCCGCACCAGATCCTGCGACCCACACCTTCATTGTAGCAGATCTGAACAACACTAAAACACAACATGGACCCAACACACTTGAGCTATCCATGTACAAGAAAGATACTGTATGTGGCACTGCGATGACGAAATAGTGTAAAGTTGGTCAGCGATAAGCGATAGGTAGCGTAGGTCAACTAGACATTGGTCAAGCAGAACCAATATTATACAGTGAGGAACTGACCATTTACGTGAGATGATCAGCTGACCACTGAAGCGTCATTTGCGAGTTGGATGTAGATATCGTTTGGAGATTATTGGAGCGTTTTGTGGAAAATCGTGGATTAGCGAGCAGTAGCGGAGTTTGATATTTGTATGACGAAAGCGTTTGCAATCAGACTAAAGACCGAATTTTATTAGGAGCTAGTTGAGATGGTTAAATTAGTGTATAGTAGTGTAAGTGAGAATAGAAAATTTACGTTGTGCAAATATAGAAAATATATACAATATTTTGAAATTGACTTTTTACACAAAATGCCAAGCTATACGTATTTTTTTTTAAATAGGTCTACATTGTTTATATCATATTACACATACATTTCTGTATGTATGAATTATGTTTATCACAAGTAACAACTAATAACTTGGTTATTACAATGCATGCCAGGAACCCATCGAGTTAAGGAGAACTAAACACAATCCACACAGCATACAAAACGTCCAACTATCTTCAGGCAATAACGTTAAAGTATTATTTTAAAGGTGGGTGTTCTTAATTAATTAATTTTTTTTTTTTTTTTTTTGTATTTTAAACGACCATTTTACAGTAACTTTCCATTGAATTTTCCAAACAAAGGACGGGAGACAACTTAAGGACACAAAAACCGACTAATATATAAATAAACCAATTAGAAAAACAAACAAACATACATACATTATCTTTACATTCTATTAAAATTAATTATGTTAATTATTAAATACCTAACAAACTTAGTTGACTTTGAGCGATAAATAAATGCGTATGATACATTTAAAAAACGAACAGTTTGTACTTGTTTTAAGTAGATTTCAAAGACATGTACATTAAATAGATTAAATCATATCGACAATTACATTTCCATTATTGGCAAATTATTATAGCTATTTTTAACCAGCGGATATGTATCTAATGTGCTTACATCTGCTTTAAAATAGTATGAGAGAAAATATTAATCTGAGGCTGTTTCATTCTGACATAATCAAGTGAATGAGAAATATAATGCGTCTTCTAACTCAGTTGAAAAGAACATATATAGAATTTAACTAAGTTGATGCTAACCGAAATATCGTTTTTCTATATATGTATAGTTACTTGTATAGATCGGGGGGTAGCTATATATGGTTATCAGGTGACTGACTGTTGTGTGATGCGAATATTGAACCGTGCTCAAACTCGACAAAATGATTAAAAAGAAAGTTGTTCAACTACACAATGCACCCATCTCATGTCATGTTGAACCAACGTATAAAAATGCACGATTTTCACAATCCAAGATATATGAAACATAATATAAATCCAACACACGAAATACCCAACTCTTAAAATGCCCAAATCCTGATATATCAAATTTACATTATAAAAATAATCACGATTTAACAAACTCAGAATATTCCCAACTCATGATATGCTAAATAAAGGTATACCCAATTAAAGATATAAACAACTACATTTAGACTAAAATATTACATTCATTAAGGGGTGCTAGTTTTTACTTATGAATTTATACGCTACCGAAATAAAGACGAAAATAAATCGTATGTCATCAATGGTAGCACACGTGTCACCAATTGTTTTCCACAGGTCACCAAGTGTAACCAACAGGTCATCTATCGTAACACACAGGTCACCAATTATACCCCACATGACACCACCATTAGCCCAGTAACAGTAACCCTCGTGTATCTAATATTTGCCAATGTTGTCACCCTACAACATATTGCATTATCGTCTCTATAGACAAAAAAAAAATCCCCTGACACCTTATTTATCCTTATCCAACTCCAGCATGTGAGATAAATAGTTAAAGTAGAAGTAAGTAGAAGTCTCAAAAGCCCTAACCTAACTTATGGAAAGAATATCATGCGATGATAAAGGCCATCATTTCTAAGAGAGATTGTGACCGGTGTAGTATGTTCTTAGGCAGTTATGCAAAGTTGTATGTTTATACATACAAGTAAGGTCGTTCAACATAAAGGGTTTTTTATTTGCATTTTTTACATCGTCAGGGGATCCGGCTATGGCAAATAACGATGGATTAAAACAACATATTTATATCGCTCTATTAATATTTTTAATGATTTGTTTCGCTATTCATTAGAATATGAGTTAAGTTGTCTGTCCTGTATAAAGTGATAATATAATTGTTAATCACTAATTACAATAAAGTGATAGTATAATTGCTAATCACTAATTACAATAAATCGATACTCTTGAAACACGGTGTCTAAAGTTGAAATACAATTTAAGTTTTACAAAAAATATAACAATTTTATTCTGGCTTAAATTGCAAGTGTGTATGTCGTGTTGGGGTGGGGGAGGTGGGGAGGTCTCATTTGTGCCAATTCACCACTATATATAAGGTCGATATAGGTAACAGAAAAAACAAACAGTATATCGCACTATATGGTTGTTGTGCTATTGTTATAGAAATTTAAAGCAGAATAAATTGGACTGAGTTAACATGTTTAGGGCATGTAACCTTTAAAATCAGAATGTGAAATTAAACTCGTTATAAAAGCAACAGGCGACTTACATTAACCACCCATTATTTGCAAATGGGGAGTTTGCATCTAAAGCATGAGTGGTGGACATAATTAATAACAGATTAATTAATTAATAGTGTGAAACATTGAAATGTGACGTCGTTTATGGAGATTATCTGACACAACTAGTAAGATAAACAGAAACACAGATCAGGAACACGAAAAAGTCTTACGACTATATAACTTTATTATTATTAATACATTAACGCATCGTTCATGTACCGGACACTTGTATTATTTCAATAGAAAACAATAAAATAATATATCCCTTTATACATGTGATTGTAGTGTACACAGTACATATTAAGTAGATGAAAGTTTTTGATAGTTTTATACAAGTCTTAGATGTGTGGGGATTGGCTATAATTGGTGAGTTTATGGGTGGGGATTAGGGTAAAGGAGGGTGTGGGTATAGACTTACATGGTCCTTGTTGAAGTTGTAAATGGATGACCATTGCTTTACTGGCTATTTAAAATATAATGTCAGAGAGAGAAGGTATAGTAAAAGTTGTAGTAATAACATGCAGAGGATTAAACGCTGGAAAACATTGTTAATAATGACTTCATCGCTTGTCTTTTAAATGTATAAAACAGAAAGCCAATGTAACAATGCAATGGCAAATGTATTTTTAATATAATTCAAAGACACAAATACAATGGTTATCGTATTTGATATCAGTAAAAATATTTTTATAGCTTGTATTTTGACTTATAAAACAGACTGCTTCATTTCAATTGTCTCCAATGCATTAAATGAATCTGTATCGGCTATAATGGTAATTACTTCCCTTGCAAACTTTCGGACTTATAATTACAGTTATTGTTCAATATTTAAATATGTGTGTGTATTGGTAAACCAAAATAACATTTTTGTTTGTTTGTAATACAGTGTACCAAATCATTTAGACGCATTTAAATTGAGCTAAAAAAGAAAATATTTAACTATGTAAGATATGTAACAGCTTTGTTGGGAGCGGGTCAGATGTGGCTCAATATAAAGTGTTGTGATAATTCAATATGGCAGACATTATGTTAATACAATCCTTAATTAAGTTTTTGAAACTGTCATTTAAAGCAGACACTACAATGGCAGCAAAAGTCGAGGGATTTATTGCACCATTTCACTTCTCGGCATTTTGGCTAAGATCAAAGTGTACTTTTTGTTTCGGGTTCTGTGCGGAGGTTTTATATGTGGCCGCAGTTTGTCCTAACGTTTTTTTTTTAATATCGCCCTGTTATGCCTTTGTTGCCGTCATGGGTGAAACATATCACACCTCATTTTACCAAAACCCTCCCTCAAAATTACATTAAACAGCCGTTTATTTTATGTTTTTTTTTATGTTTTTCTTAATAAATCTTAATTAAGCTCAATTTTCTTGACAATGAAAATGAAAAATAAAAGTTAAAACTCACTTTAATAGTTTTTACTGCAAAAAAGTGTTGTTTTCTTTTTAAAAGAAATATAAATATTAACTTTTAAAAAACTAAAACTGGCTTTTGTAAAAAATGTTTTTAGTATTATCAATTCGGCATAGCAATTTAGTTACGTGTTATTTCCCTTAACATCATTAATGAAAATGGATAAAAAGCAAATTTTAAATACTGATTGTTAATATGTTAGCACTGTTATTCGTTTATACTTTGTATATAATATTACTGTTACTTTGAATGTAACATTAACCTAAATAGACCATTTTGTTCATGCAGAAATTGGATAAACGCATGTCTTGTTTAGAGCGAGTCATACTTCTCTCCGTATGAGAGTGTGGATAATAGGACTAACATAAAACAGATACACTAACATGTTTATTGCACTATTTTTGTGCCATTTGACATACGAAAACGTTGTGATTGATTGCCCCATTTAAATTCTCGGCCTTTTGGCTAAAATCAAAGTGTACTATATGTCACGGATTCTGTACGGATGTCTTAGCTGTGGCCGCAGTTTTCCCTAACGTTAGTCAGGTACCAATCTGAAATCGATGGACTTAAGGGCGTCCTACATATATGACATAATGTTTGGTTAACTTAGTTGTCAGTTCTGCTATATGGAAACATCTAGGTGGTCAACTAGCTAGTTGTTTATAAAATATACATTGATGCTATTAGTTTGTTTCATATAAACAATAAACCTCGGCTAACTTATCGTCATCAAATGTTACAAGAGGTAGCACGTGAAATGTGTGAGTCGCTATTGAGTTCGTTCATCACTTCCCCCTTCTGTTGACACACGGCTCTCCCTATGATGCAGGAAGGTAAACAACAACACCATGTCTTTCAGTTAACATAAACTTTGTTAATTCTTATTTCTGGTTTGTAGAATTCA